TCCCTTCACCTTCAGAGCAAACCAAAAAGTAAAATATTCTCAGTGTGATCTATATCTTTTAGGCAAAGGAGACTATTAGAAGTTTCTGTATCTAACCTGGAGTGCACTTATGAGCCCTTTCTAGCTCAGCTTTAGCTCAGTCTGAAAGTGATTTAAAATATCACACACATTTTGGATTTACGAAGTTACACAGACCCATGAAGAGACTATATATATATAAGTCTTTAGCCAGGAAAAAAAGCCATTTTGGAAATTTGGCAACTTTTGGCAGCAGTGGCAGCTCAGACAGCCAAGCTGCAATTTCTACACCAAGTAATGAGCACTGAGCTTTGTGCTGAACTGAGTGTCCCAGCACCCACCAAGAGCCAGCCCTGAAAGGTTGCTGCTGACGTGACAAAACACACTCCTTTCATTTCAGCCTCTCTGTCAACACTTGTGAACAACTCCCAGACAAAAAAAGCACAAGCCATGCTAGACTTCTTCAGAAAGCACAAACCCATTTCTACAAAACAGATTAAGTAACACTTGATGGGCCAGAGGACATGGTAGGAGAGAGCATTTAAGGACGAGTCAGAACATGTGCACCAACATCAGCACCACTCCTCAGTTGTTAATAAAGGACACAGCAACCCACCACAAAACTGGGAATGTAAATTCACTGGGAACAGGCAGCATCTTTTTTCCAGAGGAATCCCAACAGCCTGTAAAACTGACAGCTGTGTTAACAGGTTGAAAATCTCTGCTTTGTTTTAACATAGTTGCTTGGTTGCCTGAAAACTCAGAAAGCAACTGGAACAGTCCAAAACCCGGGCATTTTAAACTGGGATAACCTTGTGACCAGATGTCCCCTTGATCTGAGTGGCAAGTTCAGTAGCAGTGCCATGGCCCAGGCTCACTGATGTGCCTGAAGCCAGACAGTCTCCAGTGAAATGGCCTGTCCCATTTCCCCCAGGTTCCCTTGCTCCAAATGAACTGTTTTTGAAGAAAGCCTACAATGTCCCACAACTGATTAGAGAGAACCTACAGCCTGGCTACCCACAAGAGAGAAGAGATTAATCCAACACCACATTTTTCAGAAACCACCATCCTGGAAGGGCTGTAACCCCATGTGAAAGCCAGGACACGTTGCAGAGCGCTGGATCTTGACTGTGCCTGTGCTGCTGCCAGGAAGAGGAGCCGTCCCCAGTTCATCCACACAAATATTCACATGGCTGCCCAGACAGCTAGGCAGTTCCCTGGGCTGACTTCTCACTGTGTACCAACACTAAGCATCAACCAGGAATAATAAGCACAGCCAGGAGCAACCTGGGACTCTCCTTGCACTGCAGAGGTCAGGGAAGCCCATAGAAAATAACTAAAGCTAAGCCTGGGCTCAAACTTGAAACAAACTGCAGGAACAAAAGTAGTGCTTTTGAAGAAGCAACTAAAGGTTGAACACCTCTATCCTCCCAAGCTGGCTTTAATTAATTTTGCTTTTTTTAAAAAGCCAGCCAGCTTTTAGATACTTACAGTTCTCTTCAAGCTCACAGGAAGTTCTGACATCATCTCTCTCCTAATGTCACCCTTATTTTCTTCCACTGGGTGACCCTGTCCACCCATCCATTTTCCTCCAAACACAGCTCTTCCACTGCTTTTCATTACAGAGAAAAAGCACCAAAGGCAGATGCTACAGGACAAACAGGCAGACCCATCTGCCCAAGATCACAAGCCCTAGGAAGGGCCATGAAAGGAGACGGGACTGAGCTTTGCCCATGCTCCAGACAGGCAGTCTCCCAAGCATGATTCCACAGCTGAACTCTCAAATGCTGCTTCCAAATTTAGTAGAATTTCTCCAAGGCTGCACTGGCATATCCAGCTCTGCCTGACCACAAAGCATGGGTAGAGCCCAGAACCCTGTGCTCTACCAATTTGTAGAGCACATTTGTTGTTTATTCTCCAACGCTTTCTTAGGTTGCAATTTTTCCAGGTAAATATTATTTTTCCACTGTCCCTGGTACTCTCTGGTTCAGTGCCCTACATTAAAAGTCACATTGCCTGTGATTTATTTCTTTGGAAACAACCTTTATTAGCTTCCTATGAAATATTAATCCAAATAATTTTAGGCTTTCCCATGCAAACACTTGAGTGCTGCCTGCTAAGTAAGAACTTTTGCTGGCAACTCTTCTTAATCCAGAGGAAGTGGTAAGGTCTTGGTATATTGAGCAACTGAGTAATGCAGATTAAAGAAATGATAAACAATTAATTATTTTTAAATTATCTTCCAGCATGGGATAAAAAAAGATGAAGCATACTGAAGTGTTTACTGATCCCATTTAATTTTCTCAGTCTATCACCACTCAGACACTTGATCCCACTATGACAAGAAGCTAAATGTATAAATGCCTGTTGCAAGAGTAGAACCCTTATTTTCACACAAATCATAAAACCACTAATTTATAAACAACTTAAGAGATGTAGTAATATTCCTACAGGACTACTGTTTTCTTGCCTGGGGATGCCTGTTTTCAGAAGGCCCTGTATTTATGGCTAATGAGTACTATCTTCTGCTGTTAAAAGAGATGGAGTCTCTCCAGAGTAATAAACTTGTTACTGGTACCTCAGGCAGTAGGAATAGCCCATGACCATTTCCACCTCCTGAGGCATGGATGGTATGGCACTTCAGTCAGTCTCAGCCCTGTCCATGCTGCAGATGGCAGAAAACACAGCCTGTCCTGTCAGTCTGTTTCACTCCTAAGGAAGCTGCCACATTCCCAAAGACCTACTGGCCTTCTGGAAATGCTTTTGAACCACTAAGGAAGATCCTCATCCGTCCTGCCCAAGCCCCAGGATCCAGTCTGCTGGTCATACTGTGGGGGTGCAACCCACAGCCACTCCCACTCTTCTCACACCATGCCATAGCAGCAGTTCTCAGTGTCTCCTGACAAAACAAGCAAGCAAAGGTGCTTCCTTTCCCAGGATACATTTGACAGACCCTGCTTTTCCAAGAATATCTGACATGGGCAGACTGTTTCTAAAACCATCTTCCTGTCTCTTCTGCCACAGTGACCAACCTCAATGGGTTGGAACTTTGAAGGTGCATCAAAAGAGAGAGTTTAAGTGGGTATTTATATTGGTTTGATGTTGTTATGAGGAGGAAAGAACCAAGATGTTCAGAGCATTAATTGGTTATCCTGTGACACTTGGATTATTCAGTCCAGGAGCAGAAGGAGCATCCCACAGTTATTACTAAGTGGTTTCAGTTGTGAGCACTGTCTACAACAAGCAATGAAGGGGAAGGCTCATGGGCCTCATCTGCCCTCCTCAGCACACCTGGAATCCACACTGGCACCAGGGGGTGTTGGGGACAGCCCAGGAGGCAGGATGTGGCCTCTCAGCATACCCTGGTGCTGAGCTTCAGCTGCCTACTCCACACAAGCACCACAAACACTTCCCCAGCACTGTCATTTCCGCCTGTGTCGCTCCCACTAAGCCTCAGACATTCCTGGGACTGCTGAGTGGTCATGCAGTTATTCCATGTGTCCCATTCAACACAGCAATCAAGGCCAGTTGCCCTGAGCCACACTAAATGATGTTTGAGCAACACATCCCAGGAACTGCCTCACAGCTCCCCTGATTGCTTCATACCTGGCACACAGGGCTTGTGAAACCTGAGTAGACAAATGCCTTCCAGCCTGTCTCACTATCAGAGGAACTTCTCCATCCTCCTCTCCCATGACAGTGGAAAAGGCTGGCTCAGGACATTCCTTGCAGTGCTGGTCACTACTCTTACACACAAAAATAAAGGAAAACCTCAAACCAGACATGCTGTTGTTCTAGTGCAACGTGGATCACGGAATGTGATACGTGTTCCGGTTTAAAGCACAGGTTAACAGCAGAAGATTCCCATCATTATTAACGTAAGACATGCGACTTCCTGGTCTGTGTGAAAAACCAAACAAGGCTTTGGCATCTACTCTTGGCAGATCCCATTACAGTTCTGGATGTCCCACACCTAGAGCTGAAGGCAACTGCACAGGCAATCAGTCAGTATAAGCTGAGCGAGATCAGTTGGTAGATCACACTGCTTACCTGTTCAGCATGAAAATAGTGAAATTCCCACTGAAAGAAACTCACCTGTTGAATTTCAAGCTAATTTCCTGGAAGCAGGCCACAGAAAACCACTTTAGAGTAAAAAGAGTACTTTTACACTACTTAAGATTCTAAAGCAACCAGAAATGTTATCAGTGACGTTTCACCCACTCAGGTGTCTTGACAAACCCTCTCCACACATTCTTTGTTGACCAGAACTTATTTTCCCCAATATTAAATATAATCACTAGAACCTTCATTGCAGCCAGCATGAATATATGGCAAGAAGTGCCACTGGGCCAGTACATTTTGATTTCATGTTTCTTGCCAGCTGTCCCTTACCTTCTAAGATACATGATTTATACCATTACTTCAAAGAATCTGGAGTAGTGGCTGACCTAAAATGCTACTTCTGCAGAAGCCAGTCCTCTTTCAAGTGAGGAAACTGGTGTCTCGCAAGAGTTCAACTGAAGCAGTCCTCACCACACTATTGTCATTAGCACAAGCAAAGACTCAGTTATTATTAATTAAATAACGATGAGACCACGTCCTGAGCTCGTGATGAGCACATGAAAAACAAAATGAAAAGTTTAGAAACTCTTCCCACTGACCATGGTAATTTGAGACAGTGTTTACTCCTGATGTCTGAAGGACTACTCTATTAGCTGTCCTTCTGAGAAGATGTTAAGCACAGGGTATTGCAGAACACTAGCAGCTGACAGCATCCTCTGAGCTCCTCTGCTGTGTCCCATCAACCCACAGCTCCCACTGGATCTGTCCAGCTGGAGCAGACTGCAGTTTTGGTAAAATTGTGTTTTGTGACAGGCAGGTGCACCAGTACCAGACTGCAGTGACTCAGTCAAGCAACACACTGCCTACATAGATGAAGCACTGGCTAAAGAAAGAGCATGTGGAGAAGCAGAAGCTGTTACCTGTGGGTGGAGAGGGAAAAACATCCCCAGAAGGATAAAGCTCCTCGCTGTTTTCAGAGCTGTGTGGAGGCAGAAAGTGCTCTGCTAGGTCACAAACAGAGGGAAGGTCCAATATGCTGCTCTCTGAGGTGTGACTCAGAGACATCTCCTTTCCTTCCATGGTTCCACTGCAGACAGAAATGAGACTCAGCTGGGCTTTTAGAGCATGAAAATCTAAGCACAAGCCAACGCAAATGGTCTGGCATTCTTGTACTGCTTTATGAGATGACAGGAGCTGTTCCAGTATAACCATACTTCAGTTAAGAAAATTAAATAAAAAAATGTAAAGGAACAACAGCAAGCCCCACAGATAACAGCCCTCAGCCTTAAACAGGCTAACTAGGAGACCACAATAAATCTGGCTTTCCTAGAGGCTTGCCAGAAGTACAGCCTCAGGCCCCAAAACTAGGAAGCCATGGAACATATTCCCTTCAGGGTACCCTGTGTGTGCCATTTAGAAGAAAACATGTTCTACAGCGTCCCTTTCCACTGATGCTGCTACAAGTCTCAGGTTAAACCCATTCCTCCTGGCTTGTGTTCACTAGCATAAAGAAAAAGCACCTTAAAACTTGGTAACCTCAATCTCACAGGGATGGCAGACACTTCCTGGCGTGGAGGTGGCTGTGTTATATAATCAGTGCACAACACTTTGGAAAGCTTTGGTTGAAGCATTCCCTCATACCAACACCTTTTTATCAAGCTTCCTCAACCAGACCACCATCCCAGAGGGAAAGAACACACAGTTGGGAGGAAAGCAAGACAGGGCTGGTGCCACTTGGCTCCACATCAAGGGCTACAGTGAACAGGCAACTCTTTTGGAGAGGTTGGATCTAAAGTATTCAAGTCCAGCAGCTCCAAGCAAAGTCACACCAGTGTCTGGGGCAGAAGATCATTGAAAAAAAACAACTTGGTGAGGTAGAAGTGACAAGACAGAGGAATCAGATATGGTGGTCAGGCAATGGCCTGACCTGCAGGCTCATATTTATCCTCTTTCCTATAAAATGAAGACAACAAATTCTTGTCTTGGGGGTATTATCCATAAGAAATGTGACAGCCACATCCAGTGGGCAAGGAAATCCCCAAAATCCGTTAGTACTGAAAAATAAATACCGCCAGGCAGATTTTTTTAAAAATAAAATTCCTTAGGTGCTTCTGTGCTGAGTGAACTTTTAGCTAGGACACACCTCTGACCTTTGCAAAATGCTGGCCAACTCACAAATGAGGAGAGAAGAGATGATGGCTGTGATACCAGAGAAGAGCAACTGCCTTGCCTTGCAGGGAAAAGGTCTGTGCACTCAGAGAAAGATTCCAGGAAAAAGGTAGTGGAAGGTTAAAAACATAACAAAGTACACAAGTACCTTCCCCCAACAGAAGGAAACTCCTCTATTGCTCTTCACGTACCAAAATATAAATGATCCGTGCATAAGGAACACAGAGAAGAAAAAACTTTCCCCAAATATTGTGTTTATGATGTATACTACTTTTAAGTAGTATACATTAAGTAGTATACATTTTTAAGTACTACTTTTAAGAGTAGTTTAGAGAACTAAACTGCCTTGGTCTGGAAAAAAATCCAGAAAAACCAAAAGTGCAATGAATTCTATCCCTTCAAGGGCAAAAGTCAAATTATAGTAATAGAAGCTGCTGGTGTGATACCACAGCAACATAAGGCTGATGGGAGCTGCAGTGGCCCTGGATGTCTCTGCCAGCTGCCTGTGCTGCTCCCCTTCCTGTCTTGCCACAACAGGACTAACAACATGTTAGTCCTGTTTTGATCAGGTTTAGATAAAACAAAGCAGCTTTAACAAAAAAATAGCTTTCCTCAGGATTAGCTCCCTCTAGTCCTACCCCCAAAACTGATGGTGAGACCACAGCTGATGGTGTTTGTGAGACAAGGCTCAGCCCTGAGTCTTCAGACAAATGAAATAGATTCACTGTTTCCTCAGTGCCATACCTGGTAAGAGAGAGCACTGATGTGCAAACAGTCCCTTTGGGCAAAGTCCAGGAGCAATCAGACTGCTGCTGCTGCTTCAGGATTCCCCCTCATTCTTCCTTCATGGTTTGTCAAGGCCAGACTGCTGGAATGAAACAAACAGGTCAGTGAGATGCTTTGTGCCAGCTGATCTGGCAGATGGACAGGGTGACCTTTCAAAGTGCACATGCTAGCCAATGTCAACAGCCAGTCATCACACATACCACTGCTTGCTAGGTCTGGTACAGGGGAAAAGTTTTTTCTAGGAATCAGAAAGAGCACATCTAGTTATGCCCTTGAACCCTTTGACAGCAGTGGAGACTTTCAGGAAAGGGGAAGTAAAGGTAAGATTTTCTTTACAAGAAGCTGCCAGATGGGCTGTTTATTCAAAACCCATCAAGCAGAGAAGTAATGGCTGGCAACCTTCCCTCCCTCCTGTGGAGAGCAGGTATCTCCCCAACAGGTTTACCTAGCCATGTCTGATGTCAACAGCCTGTTCTATCAAACCTCAACCAGGAAATGTGTTTTAAGGAGGCCACAAAACTCACCCTTGTAGAGTACAACACAGGCTCACAAAACCCAAATACTGTTTCCTTTACCATCACCTCGATTATTTTCAGTGAGCAACCAGGACAGACATATTTCAGGCAGAAACCAGAGGTTTTTCTGGGCCACCCTCAGCCGGTGGCACTGCACAGCTACCAGGAATGTCCCAAAGGCCTGCCCTGCACAGACTTGCCAGGCTGGCAGCACTGCTGCAGAATGTGATGGGGACAGGAGGGTGCGAGGCACTGCCCTTACCAGCAGGTGAGGGGATTCTCTTCCTCCCAGCCTCGTTTTCTTCCCCTTTTCCTGCAGGCAATATTCAGGCGTTATTTCAGAAAGCACTCCCTCGGCAGTGAAGCGGGACAGGAGTCACACAGGGCATGCTGCGGGGCAGGGGAACGGTGCAGGCCAAAGCCGGAGCACCCCGCGGCCTGGCCGTGGCTGCTGCGCCCAGCCCCTCACCAGCTCCCGAGGGGAAACAGCGCTGCAGCAGCCCACGAGCAGCCAGAGCTCGGCGGAGGAGGGAGTGGAAAGACGGGGAAAGTGAAAAG